TTTTTTTTTTTTTTTTTTTTTTTTTTTTTTTACATCTTGGATTTTAGATTGCTCTCTAACAATTTCCTGCTCCGAAGAATCGGGACTTAAAGGAGCTCCTGTGAAAAACAGAATAATTAAAAAAAGAAGTCTAAAATGATATCCTAAACAATGACGTGCCTTCTGCTATGGGAGCAAAGTTGTGAAAAAACTTCTCTTTGAGAAGAAGAGTGGTGAAGTTCTCCCCAGTCTGAGATCTGAGCAAACACGGAGCCCTCAGAGGGACCGGATTACTGTTGCACGGCCGCGCGCCAGGGACAGAGCCCTTCTCTGTGCCACCGACCCTCTCGGAGCGAGGCGCACTCGGGCACAGCAGGGGGCACGGCTGCAAAATCCGTTTGGGAGCTGCAAATATTTACAACGCGTCCCTGAGCTTCCCGCATGGGCTGCGTCGCCATGAAGGGATGCCTCGGGAGTTTGGAAATCGGGCATCCTAGTGGCGGGGTGGGGGGTTGGGTAGTGGGGGGAAGAGGGAAGGAAAAAAAAAAAAAATCATAAAAAACAAATAGCATTCACCACTGAGCAGATCTCTTAAAAATCTGTTCGAAATGTACAGCCGTAAAAGTAGGAAAAGATTTGCATAACCTCCTGCTCTGTAGGTCTCCGCGCACCCAAAGGATTAGTCGAGCATTCATTACCATGAATATCCTGAATTACGTTCCCGATTTATACGACAGAGTATAAAATACTGCACGAGCGTCCCCTCTTTTCCCTGCGAAACGCAACGACTTCACCACTGCTCAAAAGAGATCTCCATACTGAGGGCTTTCTACTCACCTCTCCTCCCAGTCCCGGGAAAGCCAGGCGCAGCCATTCGGTTGCTCTTAGGATTTAGCTTTAATCTCGGAGGAGATCCTCTCAGAAAAGCACTGCGGGGTCGAGCCCGGCTCCGGGAAGCGAACGAGGGCAGCTCCGGCCGACACCGGGGCCGACATCGGGGCCACTTCTCCCCTTCTCCAGCCCGCAGCCGCCGGGCCGGGTGCTGCCGGAGCTCGGGGGATGCCCACTGGCGTCCGTCAGCCCCACGCTATCTTTCTTTATATGTGAGGGCTGATTTCCCGCAGACATCATTGTTATGATGGCTCATTTAATCAAACTGTTTAATTGCTCCGGTAATCACTATCATCATCACAGGTAGTCAATCATTCATCATTTTGGAGGGGTTTATTGACCTCTGGAGCTCATTCCCCGCGCCTATTAAAATCAGGCCAAATATCTGCAACTGCCCCCGAGTCATTTTCTTAAAGTTAAAAAAAAAAAAAAGAAAGAAAAAAGAAAAAAAGAAAAAAGTTAAAATCGTCACTCTCATCCTGAAAAGCAACGCAAAACACGCCAACCCCTACCCGAATAAATTACATCGTTCTTATTTTTTTCTGCCGTGTATTTCTAAAAGCCACCTATGTACGAGGCCACATTCACCACCGGGTACACAATCATTGATAAATCCCGCTATTAACGGGATAGTCTGGTTTAGATTTTATGTGCAGGGGACCGTGAACGAGGCTGGGGGCTGGGGAGGACAAAACTGCAGCGATCGATAGTCGGAGGCTCGCTCCTCCCCTCACTGGAGGCGCCCCGTGATTGATGAGCCCGGGGAGCGCCGGTAATTGACTGCGCTAGGGTAAGGCATGCTCGGGCTGAGCGCGGCGATTGGCCGAGGGAGCATACCAAAATTACCGCGTGTGTGCGTGTGTGTTTGGAAAAGTTCATCTGGTGCTCGGGGCTGGGGGTGCATCCTCTCACTTCATTTGCCAAATCGTCCTCCTGTAATTAGCGCTCTCGTTAGAGGCATTACCGGGATCACACCCCGGCGCGCATCCCGTCGAGGTACGGCAAAGTCTACGGACGCGTCCACGCGAGTCCGCCGCTGCCCGCCGGCTCCGCTCGGAGGGAACGCGTACAGCGGCCGCGGCACATCTGGGTCTCTCCCGGCAGAGCCGAGCTGACCTCCGTTCCGAGCCCCTCTCCCACGCTCCGTTCGCAGCCCAGAAAGGGATTCCCCTTCCCTCCGCTCCCTCCCCCTCCCGAGCCATCCTCAGCTCTTGAGAGTTGCGATCACCCCACGCGGAGCGGTGCCCAACGCGCTCTCCCCGTGCCCGGACCGTTCATTCGTAGCCACGCTCAGCGCCCGCGCGGGACGCCCTCCTTCCTCCCCCCCCCACCCCCTACGCCCGCCGCATCCCGCAGCGCAGCCCCGCGCCCCCTGCGCACCCCTCGCGGCGGCGGCGGGAGCCGGAGAGCCCCATAAATAATGCAGCGCGTAAATCAGAGCCTGAGCATCGCGGTTCATCGGAAGGTATTTCGGTGCTAAAAGAATCTAGCGCAAACCAACCCGGGGCCGGGCTCCTATCGCACTTTTCTTCTCGCTCTCCGCAGTTTTCCCCTGCCTCTCCCCCCTCTCGCACACACGCACTCTCCCCGTCCTTCCTCCCCTGCCTCCCTCCCTCCCTGCTCCCTCCCTCCCCGCTCCCTCCCTCCCTCTCGCACGCTCTCTCCTTCCTACACGCGCTGCCTCGCTCGGGGCAGGGGCTGTGCGCGGCTCCCCCCGCGCGGCGCTGCAGCCGCCCCGCCGGGCGCTGCCATCCGCGGCGCTCCGCCGGCCGGGGCCACCCCGCGCTCGCCGCTCCCCGCAGCCTCTCCCCGCC